ATGAACTATACATCTATAAACTTTTTCCTGGATCACCAAAGGACCCAGTGGAGTTACCCTTGGACAATACTATTCATTTTCTTCACAGTAGAGTTAAGATAATGTATAGCTGGGTTCATATTTTGTAGATGGTCTAAAGAATTCCTACTATGGGCTTCCCTGGTGGTGCAGTGGTTGGGAGTCCGCCTGCCGATGCAGGGGACACGGGGTCGTGCCCTGGTCCGGGAGGGTCCCACGTGCCATGGAGCGGCTGGGCCCGTGAGCCATGGCCGCTGAGCCTGCGCTTCTGGAGCCTGTGCTCTGCAACGGGAGAGGCCACAACAGTGAGAGGCCTGCGTACTGCAAAAAAAAAAAAAAAAAAAAAAAGAATTCCTACTATGTGTATTCTCAAACTTCAGTGTGCATTAGAATTACCTGGATGACTTGCTAAAGCACTAATTACTGGGACCCACATCCAGAGTTTTCAAGTCAGTGGGAATGGAGATCAGTCTGAGAATTTGCATTTCCAACAAATTCCTAGATGAGGGTGATATTATTGGGTGTGTGCGGAACATCACTTTGAGCAGCCCTAATGGTGCAAGACATAATTCTTACCTGTACTGGTCAGGACAGGGCTAACTCATACCTCAAGGAGCTTGTAGTCTCGTAGGGAAGATATTTATGTAAATGACATACTGCTGTGTCCTTAGGGGCTAACAGATAGAGTAAGTGGACAAGAGGAAAAGCAGATTTAACTTTCAGCTTATGAGATCAAAGAAGCCTTTGTGGAGGAGGTGGCAAGTGACTGAGCCTTGACTGATGGGTAGAATTTAGAAATGCAAGACAGCAGGATGGAATGGAGAAATACATTCCATTTGAAATATATTGCATTAAAAACTGTAAAAAAAAAAATCCCCATTTTTTTTTTGATATTTACGAGACAATTCAAAATTTGAAATTGTTAAAATTTTCAATTGTCTCATAAATGTCAAAATTGGGTTTTTAAAACAGATTTTTAATGCAATATGCTAATCAATTAATGTTAATGTTTTTAGTGTTCTAATGGTGTTGTGGTTATGTCAAAATGAGTCCCTAACTTTTAGAAAGGCATACTGAGATATTTGTGGGTGATATGACGTGCTGTCTGGGAAAGTGGATGGGGTCTGGATAGAGCAGTGTTGGCCAGTGGTTGACAGTAGCTGGGGCCTTGTGACGAGTACATGAGAGATTCATTATACTATTTTATTCACTTTTGTGTATGTTAGAAATTCTTCGTAATAAAATTTTTCAAAAACAGAAACTATATGAGCAAAATTAAACTAAAGAAGTGCAGGGCTCATTGTTTATTTCTATCAGAATATAAAGTAAACAATTGAACAATAAGGGTAAAATGGTAACTTGAGACCAAGTCAATCAATGATTTGACTTGAATGCCACTAAGGAGTATGGACTATATTTTTAAGATAATGAAGGAACACTGAAAGTGTTTTGAACAGGGAAATAATATGAAAAAAGTGCACTTTGAGAATATTATTGTGGCAATGGTAGGCAAAACTGATTGGGAGGACAAGAGTCTGAAGGTAAGGACCAAGTAGTAAGCGCCTGAATAGAGATCTAGAGAATAGAAAAAAGGGAAGGTGGGGGTGGTGGAATATAGGTGAATCTGTAGGTGTTGGCAACCAGTTAACTGTAAAGAAGTCATGGAAGATACCAAGATTCTGAGCGGGAAGACTGGGAGAACTCCAGTGCCATTAAAAGAAAGGGAATATTGGGGGCTTCCCTGGTGGTGCAGTGGTTAAGAATCCACCGGCCAATGCAGGGGTCACGGGTTCAACCCCTGGTCCAGGAAGATCCCACATGCTGCGGAGCAACTAAGCCCGTGAGCCACAACTACTGAGCCTGTGAGCCACAGCTACTGAAGCCCAAGTGTCTGGAGCCCGTGCTCTGCAACAAGAGAAGCCACTGCAATGAGAAGCCCATGCACCGCAACCAAGAGTAGCCCCCGCTCGCCGCAACTAGAGAAAGCTCGCGCACAGCAACGAATAACCAACGCAGCCAAAAATAAAATAAATAAAAATTTTAAAAAGGGCATATTTACCAAGAAAATGATAAAGTTTGTTTTTGAAATGTTACTAGTGAGGAATCTTTGTGATATGACCAGAAGATAGCTAGAAATATGTGACTGGAATGCAGAAAAGTGGGCAAAACAAGCTGAATCTGAGAGACAACTATATGAGATGGGATGAGATTGCCCTGGGAAATAAGTTGGTGGGAAAAGAGGGTCAAGGACTTTGGGAAGCATCTAAATTTAGGGATTAGGGAAGAGAAGAGGAACCAGAGAAGGGACTAGTAGAGAGGTAGAAGGTATGAAACTTCACATTCGTGTAGGTACTTTAGTTTAGGGGCATCAACTATTCTGCTCATAACAATTAGACCGAAATTAAATTACGAGAAATAAAAACTGAATATTCTTTGTACACCCATGTTCATAGCAGCATTATTCTAAATAACCAAAAGGTGGAAACAACCCAAATGTCCATAAATGGATGAATGGAGAAACAAAATGTATATGCATATATATTAGTCAGGGTGCTACAGAGAAACAGAACCAAGAGGATGTGTATACATGTGTAATAAGGAATTTGCTTCTGTGAGGATCTTTTGGATGTTTCTGCCCACTCGTAGTAGAAGTCAACCTAACAAAAATAGTCCACTAAAGAGGGCAAAAAAATGTCAGGTACAGGATGTTCACCTTAGTCTAGGAGACGTAGTTGCAGCCTGTGTCAGTCTTGATTATCTCAAAGCCTTGCTAATGAGCAGTTTTTCCATTTTGCTCACAGATCAGTCATGCGTGTCCAGATTCCATCAAAAATACGTTAGAGAGATGGTGCAAGCATTATTCTAACCTGAAGAAATAATTTATTATCTTGAACTAGTAATGGCCTAAAGAAATTGCTGAAAATGTTTTCTGATTATTGTTAAAAATTTAGTATTCATTATGCTGAAACTAAAATTGTATTTGTGAGACACTGGCAAATTATTAAATGGATAATGCTAAATAGCCACACCTAACTGATTAATTAATTCAACTTGGATTGGGGTGGAAGGGTTGCATTCTGTATTTATCCAGACATAGCAGAATGCATGTTTCCTTAAAAGAAGAATTGTACAAGTAGTGTGGTTGTCTTGTTTTGGGAGCTACATGCATCGCCTTAGCTAAAGTTAGTAATGAATTGCAACAATTTCTCTATTTCTTTGCTAACTTAGATTTTGTTCTATTTAAAGTCTTATTTATATGTGTTTTAATATGACAACCTATTGCATAGGAAGTAGGTAGGGTATAAATCATAAAAACAAGAAGCCATTTTGAGTACTTACCTTATAAGGACTTAGTCCAAGGTATTTGCATTTACTTTCTGTTTTAGTCTTCACACTGGGTATAGGAAGAAGATACTGCTCTTACTGTTATTATTATTATTACCCTCACTTTACAGATAAGGAAACTGAGGTTCAAGAGACCAAGTAACTTGCCCACCGTCACACTTATCAAATGATGGAGCCTGGATGTCAAACCCAGGCAGTCTTACTACAGAGTTGGAGCTGTTACCCACTGTGTAATTAATTGAAGAAGTAAATTGACTACAGGACATTAGCACTTGGTTTATATGCACAACAATATCCTCTGAAACTGAACAGATTAAAATTATAACTCATGATGCTTCTGCATCTCCACAACACCCCTCCCCCAACACACCAAACCTACTGTGAAGGCAATTTCAATTCTGCCAGCAGTATCACCGTTGCCTCAAACTTTAAATTACCTCTGACTTACTTCTCTCCTTGCACTTTTATATACAATACAGCCAGTCAGAGACAGCAGGTAGCAAGAATCTTAGTTATTAAAAGTTTTTTTTAATCTATTATTTTTTTTTATAGTATTGAACAATACTATATTAGTTTCAGGTATACAACCTAATGATGCAATATTTTTGTAGAGTATATTCCATTTAAAGGTATTTATAGGGCTTCCCTGGTGGCTCAGTGGTTAAGAATCCACCTGCCAATACAGGGGACACGGGTTCGAGCTCTGGTCCGGGAAGATCCCACATGCCGCGGAGCAACTAAGCCCGTGCCCCACAACTACTGAAGCCCACGCGCCTAGAGCCCGTGCTCTGCAACAAGAGAAGCCACCTCAATGAGAAGCCCGCGCACCGCCAACGAAGAGTAGCCCCCGCTCACTGCAACTGGAGAAAGCCCGCGTGCAGCAACGAACACCCAACGCAGCCAAAAATAAATAAATAAAACAAATTTATTTTAAAAAGGTATTATAAAATATTGGCTATATTCCCTGTGCTGTACAACACATCCTTGTTGCTTATTTATTTTATACATAGTAGTGTGTACCTCTTAGTCCCCTACCCCTATCTTGCCCCTCTCCTGGCTATTAAAAGTTTTGTGTCATTGAATTTCTACTGGGTTAGGGACTACCAGTACTAGGTACTACCTTTTAAAGTCTCTGCTTTAATTTACAGGATCAAAAACAGAGAATGAAGAAATTTTGGAATTTGTTATTATTAGAAGCCAGTAAACAGTAATATTTCAGCCACTTCCCAATGGAGAGTTATTAAATCATGAGACATTATGCAATGGTAGTTTTAGTAGTTTTATTAGTCTTATTTAAGCTACGGGTAGTATCAAAGAAGAGGCTATATACTTGGCAACAGAATACAATTAAAGTCCAATATTTATATTTGTGGCATAAACTTTTATGTGAAATGGATGAAGGGTCCGTCAGGCCAGTCCTGCAGGAACTATTGATACTTTTCCCAAGGAGAGCGGAGAGTCCAGCCGCTCTCAGAAAGAACTACCTATCCCAGAATGCCCTTTTCTCCATCTTTCCCGCGAGAATCCCGGAGGGCTAGCTCAACCAATCCCTTCATGAAGAGCCTATATTATCAGCCAACCAGAAAGCGAAAGGGTGCCCAAAGGCGGGAGGCGGAAGGCGCCCTAGGTTTGAAATAGGAAAGTCGGCGCGGCTGCGGCATCCGGTTCTGGAGACCCGCTGTTGGCCGGTATCGTTTCGTGTCTTTGTGGGGCAGGTGGTCGGGCTCAGACCTGCCGGAGAAGGTGGTAATTGAGCTGGGCTCCGAAACCCGCCTGTCGCGATTGGGGAAAGTGGGTTTGGAGGCGGAATGCGTGTTTTCGGGGGCGGAGTCTGAAACGCACGTCTTGTTGCCGTTTAGGCGTTTGGGCCTTGCAGGGTGGACAGCGACGAGACAGAGGGGTTTGGGGTTTCACCAAGACATGTCTGTGACCTTCCTGGAAAGATCTGATGTCACTGGGAAGGTTTTAGCGTTACAGAGAACTGGTGGGTCCTGGAGTCTTACAGGACATCCTTTTACAGAGAACACTGAGGCCCAGAGAGTCGAAGTCAAGTACTAGTCCTGGACTAAGCCCACTAAACTCCCCTCCAGTCTCCGTTTTACTGGTATCTTTCCAGGTCTGGGGGTGGGGGACGGAGAGGGAGTGTAGCTGTGTGGGATCTTATTCTATGATAGGGGCCCTGTCATTTGGGGCCTGACAATCCAGGCTGGAATCAGAAAGGTAAGAGTTGGAAGGGGCCCTAAAAGTCACCAATTTTACTTGTGAAAAAAGGAGGCAGAGTCATTTCCCCAAGGTCAGAGAGTATGTAAGTGTTATGTGCGGTCACACTACTAACGAATTCCTGGGAGGTAGAGTGTCCTGATTTCCTGCTGCACCTTGACCGTAGTGAAGTCTAGGAGGCTTGATCTGCCCTGGAATATCTAGAGTTAAAAGTAAGTTGTTAAGAGAGTAGGGGATTAACAGATGCACATTATCCTATATAAAATAAACAACAAAGGTTTACTGTATAGCACAGAGAATTATATTCAATATGTTGTAATAAACTATAATGGAATAGAATTGAAAAAATATAGATATATATACATATATATAACTGAATCTCTTTGCTGTACACCTGAAACTAATACAATACTGTAAATCAACTGTACTGCAATAGGAAAAAAAAAAAAAAGTAAGTTGCTAACCATTTTCTAGCAAAGATCAAACTGCCAAAATATACTTGATTGGAATATGTGGCTGATATGGTTTCAATAACTTAAAAAACATAATGTGTGTCCTATTTGTTTTCTAGCATTGTCTTACAAAATGGTAGAGGACGAGCTGGCACTATTCGATAAAAGCATAAATGAATTTTGGAATAAATTCAAAAGCACTGTCAGTGACACCTCCTGTCAGATGGTGGGCCTAAGAGATACCTACAAGGATTCCATTAAAGCATTTGCAGGTACCTAAGTTTAACTTGTAACATGCTGTTTTTGTTTGTTTTTTAGTGTAATTTCAGCTGAATTGAAACTTCAACTCCCAATTTCTCTTTCAGAAAAGCTGTCTGTGAAATTAAAGGAGGAAGAACGAATGGTTGAGATGTTTCTGGAATATCAAAATCGTATGTGACAATCTGTAGAAATGGATCACAGGGTTTTTTTTTCTAAATTAAACATCTTCATGAAATCCCTCATACAAGTAAAACAATGTATTTATAGATATACAGTGTATACACATATAAAAATAATGAACATATGTGTACCCATAATGCAGCTTAATAAATGGAACATCCATGTTATACCTTCCTCTTTTCTCACCTTCTAGAACTAATCTGTCAATATTTTAATTTGGTATTGAGTTTTTGAATGTTATATAAATGGCATCATTTTGTATGTATTCTGTCCCTTTGTTCACTCAGCATTATGCTTGTGAGATTTATCTATACTGATGTGTAAATGCCTGAATTTTTTTAAAATGAGTTTCACAGACTAGGGTTTGAAAATCTGGAGTTCCCTCAGCTCTTTGGGTGTAGGGTTAATACTCTTGACAGTTTTTCTTTCCATATTTTTACTGCTGTTCTTGCCTTCTCTTTACTACGCCTCTGCAGATTGTCCAGAGTGGATCGGCTGCTTTTACTGAGTTCTCACACACAGACCACAGACATGTGGCCACAGTCCGAAATCCACTGGAGATACTAAATTTAGCTGCACCATGTTTTGAACACTATTAAATCAGAGTGCCTTTATGTGGGACACATGTGGTTAATATGCCACAGTCCCTGATTGTTTCTTCTGCTTTGCTTTGAGCACTTAGTTTACTCTTTATCTGGACCCTGAAGGCATTTGATCTTGGAAACCCTGGTAGGCTGTTATGGTAGACTTCTACCCATGTTTATTTTCTAAGCTGCCCTGAAGCTTCCATGCCCTTTTACTGCTTCTCATTCCCTCTGTAACCAGTAGCAGGAAGGAAAACCGTGTGTGTGTGTGTGTGTGTGTGTGTGTGTGTGTGTGTGTGTGTGTGTGTTAGAGTGATATTGAGTTCAGGTCCTTTAAACACTCTTGGTTTGTAGAATCCCTAGAGATTAGAAAATTAAGTTTGAAACTAAATTTTCACTACAGTTCATCTCAGTGTGCTCTGATTATCTGTAGTGTGAAGATGTGTTCTAAATAGTTTAAAATCTAAAAGCATTATCAATTATTTTTCTTTAAAAAAATCAGTTTATACTTGAACAGAAATATAATTTAAGTAAGTTTGATGAATTCGTTGAACATTTAACTGCTATTTGCCAAGCACCAAGGAGGCCACAATTTGTAAGATGTAATCTATACACTGCTCACAATTTAGTGGAAGACATAGGTGGGAAAACTACAATTAAAATACATTGTAATAGTTGCTATAATGATGGGATGGGAATTTAGTGACATAGAATCTGGAGAGCTTGAATTTTCCAGTGAGGATTACAAAATATTTAACAGCTAACCCTTACCTTATACACCACATGCCAGGCCCTATACTGAGCCCTATAGTGATTCACTGAATCCTCACAACAACCCTTGGAGGTATATTTATTGTTTTTAATCCTACCTTATGGATGAGGAAATAGGCACAGAGAGGTTAAGTAAGTTGCTCAAGGTCAGACAGCTGGTAATCAACAGAAACATGATTTGAATGTGCACAGTATGTCACACTGCCCCGGAGAAGGTCACATAGAAGGGGGATGGGGAAGTTCATCGGAGTCAGTGCCCCTATTCTAGAGGAGGGAAGAGCATATGGAATGTGGTGGAAACATGAGAGCTTGTTGAGTTGTGGGATGGCGAGAGTACAGTGTGAATGGGGAGTGGCAGAGAAGTGGCTGGTCAGATGTTGAAGTACATTATGTGTTGGGCAGAGGAGATTTATTTTGCAGATGAAGAAATTAAAAGCTCACTGAGGTTAGGAAACTTGCCTAAGGTCATATGTTTTGTAGACAGAGGGTCTAGGATTGCAGCTGAAATGTCTGCTCTTTCCAGTGTACCATCTCACCTTTCCACATAGAAGGGGAAGTGTAAGGGCGGGTTCCCATGGTGAGTAGTGAAAGTTTGAAATATTGGCCCTGGCGAATAAAAGAGCTGACTATAAACATATAAAATAATGGTCATGCAATACTGAGGGCCCTTACATTTGTATTGGCACAAATCCACACGATTGTTCAAATGTTAGAATAAAAACACTCACATATATGGTATTTATGTACCACTTAATAGTTTAAAGCTTTTCACATTATCATTGGATACCCTAACCCTGTAGGGAAAGTAAATGGGCAGCCATTATTATTCTCGTTTTACAGATGAGGAAAAGAGGCCCCGAAGTTGTGATTTGATCAAGGTCCTTGGGTAACAGAAGCCAGATGGGAACCGAGAACTTTTGACTTTAAAACTGTATCTCTTTTGGGCTTCCCTGGTGGCGCAGTGCTTGAGAGTCCGCCTGCCGATGCAGGAGACGCGGGTTCGTGCCCCGTTTCGGGAAGATCCCACATGCCGCGGAGCGGCTGGGCCCGTGAGCCATGGCCGCTGGGCCTGCGCGTCCGGAGCCTGTGCTCCGCAAATGGGAGAGGCCACGACAGTGAGAGGCCCGCATAACGCAAGAAAAAAAAAAAAAAAAAAAAAAACTGTATCTCTTTTGCAGTACCGTTCTACTTAATTATCCTTAAAAAGTAGCATTTTTCTTTCTGGTAATTCTGATAAGATGTTTATTTTTAAATTACACCTGATATAATGTGATCATGTCCAAATTCTTGGAAAATACAGAAAAATAAAAAAATATCTGTAATGTTGAGAACCACACTTAACAGAAGACTTTATAGTTTTTATTTTTCATATGCTATCTAGGTTTTTTTAAGATAATTGTGTTCATGGTATCTATATAACTTTGTATCATTTTTTTTCTTTTATCTACTATGGCAGGGTTTTCCCACATTACTGAATTCTTTGAAAATATATTACACATTATTGATATACTGTGTTTAATAATTTACTTATTAGTCATATAAAATGTTTTCAGTTTTTCAACATTATAAATAACACTGAAAATAATTTTTTGTATATGAATACTTGCACACATCTTGTTTTCTTAGAGGAACTTTGTAAAAATGAAATTACTGGATCAATGAATGAATGAATATCCTTAAGACTTTTATTTTGCAATGTCAAAAATATTTTCCAAAAAAAAAAAATTTTCCACATGGACTCTAGTATTTTTCATTCTTCTCAACACTAGCTATTATTTTTGTAAACATTGTTATAATAAATGAAAATTAGTGTGCTTTGTTTGCACTTCTATGATTACTGAGGTTAAATCATCTTTTGTATTTGATAACCATCTCCATTCTGTGTTTCCTCTGTTCATTCCTTTGCTGGTCTTTTCCTTAGGAATTTATATTTGTGTCTTCTTTAGATTAAGAATAATTACCTTTGTTGGGAGAGGATAGTTTAATGGTCAAAATCATGACCTTTGAAGTTAAGACCTGAGTTTGGATCCAGGTCTTACTGTTCATTGGATTCTAGCAAGTAAAGCTGTGAGCAAGTTATTGAACTGCTGAGTCTTTTCCTTTTTTTTTTTTTTTTTTAATCAAAGTTATAGTTGGTTTACAATGTGTTAGTTTCGTGTGTACAGCAAAGCGATTCAGTTATATATATGTATGTATCCTTTTTCGGATTCTTTTCCCTCATAGGTTATTACAAAATATTGAGTAGAGTTCCCTGTGCTATACAGTAGGTCCTTGTTGGTTATCTATTTTATATATAGTATTTTCTTTTTCTTTTAAAAAAGAGTAAGGGGCTTCCCTGGTGGCGCAGTGGTTGAGAGTCCGCCTGCCGATGCAGGGGACATGGGTTCGTGCCCAGGTCTGGGAGGATCCCACATGCCGTGGAGCGGCTGGGCCCGTGAGCCATGGCCGCTGAGCCTGCGCGTCCGGAGCCTGTGCTCCGCAACGGGAGAGGCCACAACAGTGAGAGGCCCGCATAACGCAAAAAAAAAAAAGAGTAAGATGTACATGATAATTGTATTACCGTGAAAGTTAAGTAAATTTATATAAGAACACAGTATCTAGCATGTAGTAGAGTTTTTATGCTTATTTGAATCAAATATGAGTTTATTTGTCTGCTTGCCTGCCTTTCTCTTTGATTTCTTTTTGCCTTTGAGTAAAACAATCTTTCCCCATATAGTTAATTTTATATTCACAGGTACTACCTTTTAGGTTTCATAAGATTTCATTTTACATTTAAATATTTAATAAATTTGTTTGGGGAACAATCTACTTCTTGACTTACGATATTTATCATATTAATTTGCTAAGTGTACCAACATTTGTTTTCGAATTTTTTTTTGTTTTAACTGAGCTGTAGGTCTGTTCTTCCTCCCTACCTCCCTCTCTTCCTCTCTCGTTTCTTCTTTTTGTATATTCCAGAATTATTTATATAACATTAAAATTAGCTATTTCTTCAAAGCATCTGCAAAGCCATCTTCTAGATTTTGGTTGCTTTTGGTGGTAGGTTTTATTCATGTATTTATTTGGAGGGGAGAGCTGCAAAGGTCATGATCTTCTGATTTTGTATTTCGTGGTTTAATTTAGTATTCTCTCTTTTTTTTTTTTTTTTTTTTTTTGCGGTACTCGGGCCTCTCACTGTTGTGGCCTCTCCCGTTGCAGAGCACAGGCTCTGGACGCGCAGGCTCAGCGGCCATGGCTCGCGGGCCCAGCTGCTCCGCGGCATGTGGGATCTTCCCAGACCGGGGCACGAACCCGTGTCCCCTGCATCGGCAGGCGGACTCTCAACCACTGCGCCACCAGGGAAGTCCTAGTATTCTCATTTTAATAAGCATTTTTGTCTCTTCATTTTTGCTTTCAAAGACAAACAGGAAAGACTAGATAAGGATTTTTGTTGTTCTTTTACAAGTTTTACAATCATCGGGAAACGCTTATCAATTAAAACATTCTTTATTAATTTTATGAAAGTCAGTATTTTGCTCTTATCTTAGATACATGTTGACAAGCAAAGCATATAGATTCTAGCTAATACTTTGTGCTTCTTTCAGAGATCTGCAGGCAGAATAAGCTCATTCAAGAAAAGAAAGAGAATTTGTTGAAGTTGATTGCTGAAGTAACAGACAAAAAGCAGGAATTGGACGTACTGACCGCAAATATCCAGGATCTTAAGGAAGAATATGCTAGGAAGAGGGAAAGTAAGTTTCCAGTTGTACATGTATTTAAAACAACCTAAATTTCAAAGTGGTGATGGTTCACAGTGTGGACATCTTGCCTTCTCCCCAGCTCACCACTGTCTATTCAATACGAACTAGAACTCGATCAACTTCTAAGATTTCATTTTTGTCACTATTCTTTCTTTATAAATTTGGTTGTATTTAGGTGGCTAACATACATCAGGGTCACAGCCAGCCACTCACCTCTCTCTGCAAGGTGTCTGTGAAGTTTGCTAAGTGCATTTCATTTGCCTTCTTTTGCTTAAAGATCCTTTTGATTTCTAATAGAACCAGAGAATAATGAAATTGATACGGGAGTTTAATTAAGCAAAGTGGGAGGCAGTTTCACTAAATAAGATTTGCCTGGGAGAAACCATAGTGTAATTTATGCAACAAATTTATTGATCATACATTCTCTGTCAGGAACTATTAAGCATGCTTTTCACACTGCAAAGCCTCTTTGTCTAAGACGTTCACATTTTTTAAAAAGGGTGCTTCTTTTGGATAGGAGCCTTATATGCCCACAAATGAAATAATCAATTCTAAAATCTCTTGAAAATAGCAAAGTTTGTTTTGTGACTGCTTTTCCTTATAGAGTTTGTGTACCAGTCAACATTATTTTTCTCATCTGCTAAGTATTACTTAGGGAATATTGCACTAAATTAAAAAAAAAATTCTAAACTAGCGTGAAATAAGGCTGACTTCTTGTGAGAAGTAGTTATGTTTAAAGAATAGAATATTTTCCTAGTGAAGCAATTGATATATCTTTAGCTAACCAGGAAAAGCAAAATAGTGTACAAGAAGTCTTTCTATTTCTGTGCTAGTCATGCAAGCCCTTGGCCTATTCATTCATGCTACTTCATAATAAAATAGGACAAAACTTATGCCTCATACTACCTGTATGTATTTTCTCATGCAGTTTTTCCTTCCAGCTTGAATGAACAGAAGCCCCTTTTTGCAAACTGGTAGAGATAGAAACTGTAACAAATGTAAATGTAAGCTGATTCATTTGCCTGCCATCATTTTTATAGTTGTTTTTAAGTTTGTTTTAATGAATTAACATTAATTGAATGTTGTTTAAAATATTCGATACTCCGTGTCTGTGTTTTTAATCATAGCTATTTCCACTGCTAACAAAGCTAATGAAGAGAGGTTGAAAAGGCTACAGAAGTCTGCAGACCTGTACACAGATCGACTTGGACTAGAAATTCGAAAAATTTATGGTAAGTATATTAATGTAAGTAAAACATAGGATATTAGAAAAGTCTGTCTTAAGTAGAAAAGAATTTAAAAAAATATTTTCAAGTAAAATAATGGCCACATTATTAACTTTTTAGATAGCAGGAAAAAATTACAAAATTTTTATCACCCTAATGTAATTACTGATCCTTGGTTGTTTATCATACAGTATTTTAATAAATGTATTTTAGGCATGGTTGCCAACATGCAAATAATTTTTGTTCCTTGTTCTTATTAGCATTGTATGATTAGTATTTCTCTAATTGCTATAGCCTTCATAATGGTAATTTTAAAATGGTGGTGTAATAATTCATTCCATAAGTGTAGCATAACTTATTCAATCTTTTATCTATTGTTTAACCCATATTACTCTAAGTTAATGTTTGGGTTTTACATTTTTCAGTTTTAGAAGTACTATAGTGAACATAGGTAGACTTCTCCATTTTTCTGACACAATTTCCATGGAATTCCCAGAGATGAATTACTGAGTTAAAGCATATGAATATTTTTGTGGCCATTATGTAAATATGTGCCAATTTACAGAAATATTTATCGTGTTGGGAGTTCCCAAGATTACATTCAGTTTTGGCGATTCACTGGAAAGGGTACAGGACTCAGCAGGGCTCCGATTTCTTGCGGTGAAAGGATACAAAACAAAATCAGCCCAAAGAAAAAAGGCACATGGGGCAAAATCTAGAGAAAACGAGCTTTTCAGACACAAGTTTTTAAGAGTCCTAACCCAGTGGAGTCACACAGGATGTACTTAATCCCTTCAGCATCGAATTGTGACAGTACATGAGAAGTGTTGTCTACCGGGGAAGCTCATTAGAGACTCTGGAAGCTTGTGCCTGGTTTTCTGTGGACTTCACCCCAGGTATCTTTTCCTGTTGCTGATTTTGCTGTATCGTTTCACTGTAATCATAGCACTGAGTATAAACATATGATGAGCCCTATGAGTCCTCCTAGTGAATTTTCAAACCTGTGGTGGTCTTGGGGGTCTCTGACACACCAGGCAAGGACCAGCCTTGCAAGCAGGCCTTTTCTGGGGATAGCAGTCTCAGGCCTGCTATGTTAACTCTTCTGTGCAATCTGTCTACAATGTAAAGAGTACCCATTGCATTGTATTTGTGCCAGAATTGTAGTTTTTTTTAAAGCTTTTTGGTTTTATTTTGTTTTTTAGCAGTTGACTAGATATAATAGAAACTATTTTTTAAATGCATTTCTTTAATTATTAATGAAAATGTGACCATTTTTTCCCATTGTTTACTAATTACACTTCTTTCTGAGATTAATTGGGCCCTTTATTCATATATCTATTTGCCTTGGTTTTTGTTTTTCTTCCTATCTGTCAGAATGCGTTTTTAATACAAAATATTAACCTTTGCTTAGAGGAGAACATAAGGTCCAGCTCTGAACTTTTGGTCCATTGGTCTCTAAGTTTATATTCACTGTTATCCTGAGGTGCTTTTTTGTGTTTTGTTTCAAAACCAGTTTTAAAGCTTTAAAATTATTTTTATATTTAAAGTAGAAGTTTCTCGTAGTCCTCAAAATCAGGAAATAATGTTTTAAAGAAGAGACAACACAAATTAAACTCTTCATTTTGCCTAACTGAATATCTTATGAAATCTTTTCTCTGGCATGCATACCTCCCATTACTGTTAACAGTTTAAAAAATCTGGTATACTGACATAATTACTTCATTTTGAATTTAAATGCAAGACAAATTTTTTTCAGTGTTTCTGAAGATTTCTTTTTATAATTAAAAGCATTTTTTATGCTGTAGAGTAAAACTGAAATGCATGTGAATTTCTACTTTGTGGCTGCCATTTTGAATTTCTACTGAGTATTTACTCCTTAGTAAGCATTTGGAGGTCTTTTGAAAAATAGGCTTTAAGTCCAGATAACTGTAGAAAAAGTCAAATTAAATTTATTGTCAAATTATTAAATGACAGTAAAAATTTTTTATTGCGGTCAAATATATATAACAGAATTTGCCATTTTAACTCTATTTTATTGTAAAATTCAGTGGCATTAATTACATTCACAGTGTTGTACAATCATTACCACCATCTGTTTCCAGAATTTTTCATCATCACAAACAGAAACTCTGTACCCATCAAATAATTCCCATTCCTCTCTCCCCTCAGCCCCTCATAACGTCTAATTTACTTTCTGTCTCTACAAATTTGCCTATTCTAGGTATTTCATATAAGTGGAATCATATAATATTTGTCCTTCTGTGTCTGGCTTATTTCACTAAGCATAATGTTTTCAAGGTTCATCTATGTTGTAGCAAGTATCAAAACATCATTCCTTTTTATGGGTGAATAATATCGTGTATATATACGCCATGTTTTGCTTATGTGTTCATCTGTTGGTGGACACCAGATTACTCTCATCTTTTGGCTGCTGTGAGTAATGCTGCTGTGAACATTGCATGCAGTTATCTGTTTGAGTCTCTATTTTCAGTTCTTTTGAGTATATACCGCAGAATGGAATTGCTGTGTCTTGTAATTCTTTGTTTAAATTTTTTGAGGAACTGCCAAAGTATTTTCTACAGCACTTGCACCATTTTACATTCCCACCAGCAATGTACAAGGGCTCCAATTTCTCCTCATCTTTGCCCACATTGTTATTTATTTATTTTATTATAGTCATCCTAGTAGGTGTGAAATGGTATCTCATTGTAGTTTTGGTTTATATTTTCTCAGTGATTAGTGGTAAGGAGTATCTTTTCATGTGCTTATTGGCCATTTGTATATATTCTATGGAGAAATACCTATTCAAGTCCTTTTGTCCATTTTTGAATTGGGTTTTTCTTTTTGTTGTTCAGTTGTAGGAGTTTTTTTCATATATCTTGTATGTTAAACCCATATCAGATCTATGATTTGCAGATATTTTCTCTCATTCCATGGGTTGTATTTTCACTCTCTTGATAGTGTCCTTTTAAGGTCAGAGTTTTTAATTTTTTAATTTTGATGAAGTCCAATTTATCTATTTTTGTTGTTGTTGTTGCTTGTGCTTTTGGTCATATTGAAACTACAGTGCATGTCAAAGCTTATTTGGAACCGGTACGTTTGGAGACATTGGTTAAGTGAATATATGTACTTAGCAATGTAGATATTGATCAGAGATGGAGGTAAGAAAGCTCATCTCCATTGAGAGCTTTGGCACAATAAAATAATTCTCATACTAAATAATTTAATCCCTTTTTTCAGGTGATAAGTTGCAGTTTATATTCACTAATATTGACCCTAAGCATCCTGAGAGCCCCTTTATGTTTTCCCTGAGCCTAAATGAAGCGAGGGACTATGAAGGTATGTACTCCTGTCTCTTAACTGGTACTTAAGATTGGCATCCCAGAATGTTATTTGACTTAGAATATACAGTAATGTGAAGGCAAGTAATATTCCCACAAGCTGTTGCTTTTTTTCCAGTCTTGCTTCTTGGGATATTGTCTTCTAAAGGCAATGAGTATAGTTTTGTTATAGATATTATCCAGGGGCCTTAATAAGTAACTTTTCTTCAGGATGACACAGTGCCACCGTGGCTAAAAGACTTAAAAGACCAAAGATCACTGCATTTCATATGCAAGTATGAATTATCCTCTTAGAGAATTTAAAACAAAGCTAAAGCTATAAAGGTTATGACTGCCTAAATGTGGATATTGTAAGTTATCTAAGTAGGTGGTTTTAAAATTGAAGGTAAAGTCAGAATGTGATCATTTAACACCCCCGCTCCCCCCAAGATATCCTATCCTGAAAATCCCGAATGTTGATAATTTAGCTTAGTTACTGATTCTGCAGCAGGCCAGAAGGGCTTTGATGCATGGGAAATATATATGTTTGGCAATAGTGTGAACAAGAAGAGAATGGAAATATATTTATCTCTTTTTATTATTCTAAGGCCCCCTTTAAAGTAGTCCTTAACTTACTGGAATTCAGAAAAAGTTCTTAGCTCTTTATACCTATGTTCTCATCCTAAAGCGTTTATAGCAGATAGACGCTCAGATAAACTGCTGAGTTGGCTCCCTGATGTGCTCTAGTGACTCAATTCCTATTCTAATGAAATTTATATTTTAGGAATCTAGTTCAGGTACAAGTGTTGGATTTTTTTACTCTATAGGTAAATATCTTCTAATCTGATAATGGGTGCTAAATTTTAAAAAGCAAACCCCCAAACCTCCTACCTAGCTTCTCAGTTTTCACCAACTCGGATAGCCTCTATTGCTAGGTAGTGTCACAGTATTTGATAATGTATTAAAATAGAATCTACAGTATCAATTTTGAACCAAGCACTCTTTGCTATTCTTTCTCTGCTTTGGTCATGGGCCTTGTTTCCTAAGCAGTCTCTACCAAAGAGCTGGAAATCTGATATGGTTGCATTTCTTCTCCTTGGACAAAGGACAAGATTGACGGTAGAGAAAGTTAGATCATTCCTTTCCTTTGACCACCTTTACTGGAGACTTGCTCCCAGTGTGTACCAGCTGGTGCGACTGCATTCGAGGGTCATATTGTTCTTTGTCTTTTGAGTCTCATTTGATTACTAGGCCATGTAAATACCACTTTGGGAATAGCAACCACATTTTCTAATGACCCCCATTTCACTTGTAAAACTTCAGATATTTCTTTCCACAGCTGTAAGTTATTAAGGGTTGCCATTGAAAGTTGTTCTTTTTCTGATCCAGTGACCAGAAATTAGAATTGAGGCCAAATTTTGCAGAGAAAACTGACAACAGTTCAAAAAAAGAACTGTTAAAATATTTTAAATAGTTAAAACAAAATGTATGGGAAATGGCATGCAGTTCTGTATCTCTAAGCTCTTCAGTCCCTTGATTACCTTCTGTTTAAATTTAAAGCAAGATTATATTACTTAACATTTGAATATTTAGAGATTAAACAAAGGAAAGGTCTAAAAGACAGGATACGAAAATCAAGTAAGTGTATCTATCATTCTATGCTGAAAGCATTTCAATAAAATGGAATTGAAATGACTTGAATCAGATGAGAGCATCTAAGTTAGAAATATTTCTCTTCTATTAAAAACCTCATTCAAATTTCCTTTTTTTTCCCCCCCTTCTAGTGTCAGATAGTGCTCCTCATCTTGAGTGCCTAGCAGAATTTCAAGAAAATGTAAGGAAGTCCAACAATTTTTCGGCTTTTCTTGCCAATGTTCGGAAAGCTTTTACTGCTATTGTTTATAATTAATGTATAAATAGTATATAAAAACCGTTGTCCCTATTGTGTTTCTCTTTTTAAAAAAGGTCTCATTATTCGCTGTTTGTCTGTAATCCGTTTGTATTTTTGTAACATTTCTGTGTGCTATTTCTGTAAATTATTTAAATTAAAATCTTAGGAAAGAAGATTTATAAAGTCAAGCTTTTGGAGGTCATGGACCAGTAATAGTAAAAAATGAGGGGGTGTAGGCCCAACCTAAGGTTTGCAATTTTTAAAATGTACTTCACAAAATATTATTATCCTAATATTATAAAGGGAAGAATATTTTTATCTTAAACCAAGTGGGATCTACAGTTTAAAAAGGACAAATCTTTACATCAGAAGAAGATTGGCAGTATTCTAAAATGTCTTTTAAAAAAGAATCTAATTTTGAAAATCCAAATATAGAAAATTTACAACCAATTTTCATCTTATAATATTTATACTGGTTAGTTGTGATCTGGATATAAATTTGCCATCTCTGGAGTCTATTCAATATGAACTAGAACTCGATCAACTTCTTCTAAGATTTCATTTTTGTCACCATTCTTTCTTTATAAATTTGGTTGTATTTAGGTCTGCTGGCGTTAGTGGAAGCCACGTACTACACCTCTCAGGATATCTTGGGCACACCTAAAAGCCATGGAACAGTGGCCTTTGTGCTTCCAGCTACTGCTGTCTTCTCTTTGCAGTCTGGGGGAAATGTTTAGACCAGTTGTCTAGTTAGGCTTGGAGGGAGTTTCAGAGCACTCTCCCTCAGTGGCCTCTCATGCCTAGGAAACCCAGGTCTGGAGGTAGATTAACCTCGACAACTGAGCTAAGAGTAGGGATGTTGTAGTTCTCTAAATGGAAATAGACACTACATGTTTAACAGAAAAAAATAGCAGATGACTACTATAGTGAGTACATATTTACTACTTGAAATATATTCTCAAGGAACAAACAGAACTTAGAGAAGATTTTCATTCACTGAAACTAGAGGAAAACCATGTCTCATACCACAAATTCTTGATACGATATTTTGAACCATACAGCGAGAAGGCACGAGGCATTGATTCTGAAAGATCCTCTTCACCTGCAAGTTCGAGAAATGAAGACGGGGGATGAGAGACTAAATGGGTAGCTCCGCACTTAGGTCCATTTCTCCTCAAGGACCACCATTCTTCACTTCTTACTGGGGTGTGGAGGTGGGACAAGACCTCTGAATGAGACCACGTAGCAGGAAAGTCACAAAAGGATAGCATAGGGACCATCTTTGCAGCTGGGATCCAAGGTCAGACGTATGAATAAAGTGCACTCTCATACCAAACAAAGGGCCTTAAGCCATAGAAATTTATATCAGTTTGTTTTCTCACCTGGAAAGTTGATTCATTCTAAAAGTGGAATTGGGAATTGGTTAGGGCTGGCCACCTTAGAATAATAGTTAGTACTTTCTTAACTCTTCTTATGTGCCCAGCACTGTTCTAAGCCCTTTACAGATGTCACCTCATTTATATTCCCTCAACAACCTGTGAGGTAGGTACTATCCATAACCTAGTTCTACAGATAAGGAATCCAAGGCACAGAGAGTGTAAGTAACTTCAAGTCAGATAGCTGGGAAGTGTTAGAGTTGGGATTCAAACCCAGGTGGCAGTCTGGCACCTAACCCATGAACTTCACCTAGACTCTACCTTATGCCTTTCTATGCTATATTGCAGAGAAAGTATGTGAAGACAGAGTTCTTAACAAAGATTCTATACAAATTTGAATTTTTTTTTTTTTTACAAATTTGAATTTTTATAATATAATTTTGCTTTTTTGTTTCTATAGAAGTATGATGATTAAGAAAAAAAAAAAAAGCAGGGGAATATGTTTGTCTGGATCCTTAGTACCTGGCCTTCAGAACCCAAGTGACTCACTGAGAACCATCTCTAGGTATTCAGACTGCACTTATCAACCCCAGGTCTTTATGGAAATGGTGGATGGAGGACTGTTGACTTATGCGTAAGTCTTTATCTGTTCAATCAAGTATAAATGCCCTAATTTTTGAGGTTTGCTCTGTGCCAACCTAGGAATATTCTGGAGTCAACATTATTAGTATATTAGCTTAAATATTAAAGTTTGATACATTATGAAAATTGCGCTTTGAATACATGTGGAAGGTAAACCAAGCTATTCCATTAAATTTGCTCTATCCATTTTATTTAGGATGCTATGTTGTAAATAAATAATACTTTTAAGCATTTACAGTCTTCCTGGTACGGAAATAAAGCACAAGATACATAGATAAGAGATTTTCTTAAATGGGAAATAAATGCACACAAGGAGTAAAACTGAACTGGAATCCAAATCGGGTGGACTAACCTATTCCACATTTTGTAATAAAATGGAACAACAAGCCCTCTAAAATTAAACTCAATCACTAATTAAGTTAGAAAAACAGAATCAGCACAAAATCTGCTAAAATGTATGCTAGTGGATTTAAAGTTTTGATTTCCCAGGTAATGAGGATTAGAATGCGTTGCTTCTCTTCCACTTCAGAGGATTCTTGTCCAGAGACAATTAGTTATATTTTAATTTGTGTACCATGACAGTGAAGTGCCTAGTATCACCCTAGCATAGTATCTAACACATAGTAGAAGCTTAGTAAGTATTTGTTAATGTCTAACACATTTCTAGACTCAATATAGGATTATTTAATGGGAAATTAAAGTTACATCTTTGAAAAGGAGCTGACTTGTTCAGTAATACCTACAGGCATGTTGCTGAGATGTCCAGAAATTCTTAGAAGGTAAAGATATTTCTGCAGGCAATTCTTGACTAAATGACAAAGCTAATTGAGAATAAGACTCTTTCTGAATAAAGACAAGGGTTTCATCTAAGTAGAAAGAGTCCGTCAGTTAAGTAAGTAAACTGGAGAGTATATGAGCTGTTTAAATCAGCTCCTTTCTTGGTATTGTTAAACATACTGTAGTGTGAAGTGTGAACAATGTATGGTGAAATATGTGAAGAATGTTTGGAGTTTAGACACATGTTATCATTTTCCCTTAGCAACCAAGCAAGCTGGAGGTAGCTGCTGAAGCTAAGGTCCAATAAAGGGAAAAAGTTCAAGGATGAAGTTATTTTACTCAGTTGGATAGATTTTTACAAAAATTCAGAAAGTGGCAAAATTTGAGATCAAATAAATGTGATCTGTATAATGGTAAATCTTGAATACTCTTTTTTTGTGAAAAATTCTGCTTTCCAGCCCCAACACTGGTAATGTAGAAAGATTTGAGGATTAAGATGTGGTCCAGTCTTTTCTCTACTATTAAAATTGATACATGATGTTAGGCAAGTCATTTAATCTTCTGAGCATCAGTTTTCTATCAGGCCAGACTGCACTATGTGTAGTTTCCCAAACTTGCTGTTTTCTTTTTTGTTGACCAGGCCAAGAAAGTTTTCTTCTATTTTCAGTTAACTAAAAGTAATTAACATGAATGTTGAATTTTATCATGTTTTTCTATATCTTTATAGATTTTCATCTTGTATCTGCTAATGAGGAGATTTATATTAATAGGCTTAAAAAAGAAGTTGAATTAAACTTGCCTTCCTAGAATAAATCCAACTTAGTCATGGTGTGCAATCTTTTTTGTTTTGTTTTGTTTTTAATAATGTTGGATTCAGTTTGTGAAACTTTTATTTTAAATTTTTACATCTATAGCCATGAATTAGATTGGCTTTTAATTTTCCTTCGTATAAACTTCATGGGATGTTGGAGTCACAGTTATCCTAGGTCCTAGACCCTTGAAAATAGTTGAGATGTGTTCCTTTTTTTCTATTTCCTGAAAAAGTTTGAATAAGAATTTCTGTTTTTGAACTCACATATAAAACTATGTGGGCCTGTGTTTTCTTTGTAGGAAGATGTTTTTAGAAAAATGCTCGTTAAATTTTTTTAATAGCTACTGAATAATTCAGTTATTCTATTTCTCCCTGAGTTTTGAGAAAGCATACATTTTTGAGAAATTTATCTCTTTTGCTGACATTTTTTGCAAATTAATTGGTATAAAGTTGTTGATAATATATAATTTTAGTTTTTGATATCTACGGCATCTGTAGTATGTCTAGTTTTTTCTTAGAAGTAATATTTATTTATGCCTTTCTTAATTTTGCTAGAGGTTTGCTCAGTTGATTAATCCTTTCAAAGAACCAATGGATAGTTTTGTTCAACCCCTTATTTTGTTTTATATTTCATTAATTTCTGATCATTTCTTTTATTTGCTTTAGGTTGTTTCTGATGTTTTCATAAATTCATAATTGGGATACTTAATTCATTAATTTTAGCATTTCTCCTTTTTCTTATAGTACTTTTTTTAAGCTGCTTTCCTGAAACTACAGGTTTTAATATGTAGTAACTTTCTTATTTTTTATTTCTAACATTTAAAATTTTCCATTAAGATTTATTCTTTGTCCATGTGTTATTTAGAATTGTGTGTGTGTGTGTGTGTGTGCGCACATGTGCATTTGTATGTGTGCAGGGACACATACATATGTGTTCTCCAAACACACGGGGTTTTTTCACTTTTCTTTTGATTCTCTTCTTAATGATTTCTAACTTACATTGTGGTCACACAGTTTCTAGAGTCTTACTTTGTGGCCTCGTATGTAATCAATTTTTTACGTGTGTATTTTCCAGGGGTTACGTGCAGTACTTTCTTACCTGCCCACTTGCCTGACTCCTGCTCAGTTTGGACTTTCCCCCACTTCTTTGATCCTAATTAATGCCCTTCCTAAATGTTCTCATAACCTTCTTGATATACTCCTATTATAGCATTTATCACAGTGTATTGTGTTTACTGGTCTGTTTCCCTTTCAGAAGAGAGACTAAGGGCTCTCTGAGGAAAAGGGCTCATTGTCTTTTTAGTATTGAAGTGACAGAGTGATAGTGCCCCAGCCACTCTGTATGGTAAGTTCTATTCGCCCTTCAAAATCCCACCTTCTCTGATCCCCTGCCCCCAGGCCCATCTTCCCTTCCTACTAACATTGCCACAGGCAATGGGATGTGTTGTTATTTTGATTCT